GCTCTGTCATGCACCGCGGCGTGACATCCGAAAAGCAAAAGAACCCGCGTTACTCGGGCGAGGGGGAAGAGGGGGCGAAAAAGCACGGGCAGTTATCACGACACTTCGCGCCGCGGATGCGGCCGATATGGCTGCGCGCGGCCGACTCGTGCATGTAAGCACGACACTGTAAAATTACCGCGTCAAAAACAATTACGTTACAGCCCAACAGTTCGCGTAACCCGACCACGAGACAATGAAGATAACCACAAACCACCACCGAGCCAACCAGCCAACCGTCCTCGTCGCCGTCGTCGTCACCGGCGAAATACGCTTCTTCCAGACCCGACTTCCGCGTGACAGGTCGAGGTTGAAAAATTAACTCGCATATAATCGTGCCTTCCCCCTCGCGCATCCTCTTCCTTTATGATATTCCACAGCTCTCTTTCTCTCTCTCTCTCTCGCGTCTCATCCGGCTAATTTCGAAAATTACTAGTCCGCATACCAGCCCCGAGGCAACAACGACGATCCCGATTTTAACCACCGCGAACAATTCTCCGATAATGAAGCGTTACCGCAAAATGATCGTTTGTTGATTACTTCCTTAGACATTAGCGTTCCGAGATGTTCGTTTTACTTTGATGAAGAGCTATCTCTACTAGTGTAATCTCGCTTTACTTGACCGGTATACGAGCACATCTGAAGTGTCAGCGCATGAATTCTAAGCGATCGAGGATGAAAAGATTTTTATAGCAATTTCCTTTCAAGCCGGTACGTCTCGTCAAGTTGTCGCACAAATTATTAATTTCTATTCGTCATCGATGTTCGCGAACACCAGTCGATCGCTTGATATTATCAACGATGTCGGCTCAACTCGTGGGGTGGAATTGAGGGGGCGGGGGTCGAGCCGCGGTGGCGCGGCATTGTCGAGTGGAAAGGGGTCCAATCAATCAGCCGCAAATCAGTATGCACGGCACGTTCGCCTAATGCCGCCACTCTTTCATCATATTCATTTGATCGCGACCCCCTCAGCCTGTGCACGCAATCGTTAATGGCGCTGTTTAAAGATCGCAACCGATCGATGTCGAAACCTCGCGCGCGTCCGTGAAAAAGGGATATACGAATGTCTAGATTCGAATAAAAATTATAGCTTTCTAATCTTACGTCAATGTGCCATTGCATCATCAGATTATGATGAACAAATTTGCAGAATATTTGTATATAAACTATAAGCATTGAAATATTTTATATTCTTAATGATCGAGTCTTTAACTTCTAATCTTTCTCTCTCTCTCTCTCTCTCTCTCTCTCTCTCTCTCTCTCTCTCTCTCTCTTTATGCAATGCTAATTATAAATATTATAAATGTAACTGTTAAGTTAATGTTCTTAAAATGGAATTTTGTGGAAATATTATAACGAGATGCCCGTTATAATATTTCCGAAAATAAATCGCTCGTCAAATTGAAAATACGCTCGCGTTTCGAGTAAATCGTGAACGTTGGGAATCTCGTAATTGACGAAGGAAAAACCGTGTCTTCCCGGGTTCCAACGTTTGTAGTCGCGGTTACACATCGATAATGATATATGGACTCTCGCTACCCGTGTTTTCGTGGCTTCGCAAAACAACCAGCTGCCATTCGTAAAGCGTTAAACAGATTACGGACAGCGGACGGCGCGTTGCCACGAGGCAAATACGTCTTTGGCTCTCCGACTGGCGTGAGATCGAGATGGCAGGAGGCAGAGAACCGGGCAAATACGTAATCCGGATTATCGTGGGATCCGCTTACCTTACCGGACACTTGCGCGGTGGAACGATACGGCGCCGATACCGGTGCCGACTCTTCACCCCCTTCCTGCTCTCCCTTTCTCCCCTGCCCTCGCGAGACCTCCTTCTCTCCCGTTCCCTCTGACTGCACTTCTACGTCCCGCAACACTTTTAAGAGGATTGCCCCGTAAGCCGTAATATTTTTAACGAGGCCCGAGTTTCCTCGACGTGTCCGGCTCGGCCTGTTCCTGAAACGCAATCTGTCAAAAGCTGACTGACATTATTCGACAAGAAAATAAAAAGAAAAGGGTCCTCTTATATTTGGTAATAAATTTTCTGTCTTGAATTTTTGAATACAATTTTTAATTTAATTTCTTTTCAAGACAAATACATTCTGACTATCGACGAAACATTGCAGCTTCCTATATCAAGTCGATTCATCGAGGCAGGAGTAAGTTGCAGGAAGCAGATATAAAATAAGCAAAGATAGACAGCGGATGAAAGAGAAAAGGAGAGGGTGGGGATATCCAATTTAAGCCGAGCCCACAGCGCAAAAATGCTTCCGAAGGCTCCGGCTTGGTTCATTAAATGAAACCCAATAGCGGTTGTTTGCGTTGCCAGACAGCGAATCCGTCGCAAATTGAATGCCATATTGTATAGGGTCCGCCCATGCGTTTTTCTATATCGCATACGCGGCGTAGTTTTACGAAATCGACGCGAATGGCGACTAACGTTTACATTGTTGTTTATCGTTAATTTGCAAATTCTATCGCAAAAACGACACGGTATCGTAATGAAATAAAATTGATAATCCATCATTCTTCATTACTTTACATAGCGAGCGAATCGTAGGGAAAAATTGTGCCGGATAGAGGGAACATTTTTGCGCGCCCGTTATTTACCGATGGCGCGACAACCCTGCATCACAAGGAATATTTTGCGATGCTTCGGAACGAATGGACAACAGCTATCGCGACGATATGGAGCGTAGTTAAAACACAATTACCGCGTCGCCCCTCCACGTCGTCCCTACGACAGACCGCGGGCGTACCGCGCTGTCAAAATAGATAACGTTCGGAGTAAGTCACCCCGAAGTTAAAACCCATCGTTGCAACGGGCGGTGTAGGACCATTCACTTTGGGTTAACGTCGACAAAGGGTGTACAGGAGGATAGGAGGAGAGCAAGGGAAAAAGGGGCAGAGGAGAAGGATTGCGTTACGGCGGGACCGTGATACGTTCCGCGTGCACGTTTTGTTGCTTGCGACCAAGTTAGGGGTTGATATTGCTCGTCGTTGGGGTTGCCAGTGTGACGTCACGCGGCTGATTAACATAAACGGAGCGGCGTTCGTTGACAGAAGCGTTATCTTTTACTACCCGTAACTACTTTCCCGCATAAGCGGACATCAATTAAGCGATAATATATCGGCTGACGAAGTTTGAAATTTTGTTTCGTTATCGATTCGGTTCAGAATAATCGACGATTGTTTGAAGAAACCGCGCTCGTATCATCGATCCGTAATAATTTAAGAGGAATTTTGGTCGAAGGGATTAGTCCTTGTACGCACAAGGGATGTCCCGCACACATCAACCCTTTTATTACGGGACCGGATGACTGTAACTATCTAACGTGACATTAACGGAATCTCGTTTCGCTTCAAAATTATTGTTATTATTCCATAAATGGATATCGGTAGAGGGAGACTTAGATTATGGAACGCTGCCCACATATCTATTAAGACAGTACGTTTTACTTTATTTACTTGCATAAATCTTACGCATACTTGTTACATCTCAAACTTGTACAATATTTTGTCTATGAACACTCTGTTGTCGTGTAATCAGAACTTTAAATTTTTCTAAAATTAGATCGCTCTCGGATCAATATTTAAAATTTTTCTAAAATTTTCATAAAAATATTTAGCATTAAGAGTTTTTAACAAATACATTATCCATATTATTCTTCGCCGATGTTGGAATCCACCATTATTACTTCTTAATGCAACTTTAACGACACTTGAAAATAACAATCGAACTTTACAACTACGTTTTATTATCTCATCTACGAGTGAGAGAATCTCGATTTAAGACCGCGCGAGAGATGCATTATTTTAAGTCGCACCTAAAAAATTATTTCGGAAAAGATGGAAAGTTATAGGAAGGCAGAGAGTATAAAATAAAGTTTCTGTTACAATCGATTGCCCATCTAGTCGTAATGCATATAATCAGCTTTCGGGGATAGATAATATAGAAGATAGATAATATAGAATAGAGACGTAAAGAATGAGTGGGAAGGAGAGAGCAAGAAGCTAACCGCGCTGGTGGGAGGAAAGACGATCGTCGGCGAAACTTTATCTCATTCATACTTTTGCATTTGAAAGCGGTAATTTATGCACGCGGCGAAGTGAGACGGAATGCACCATGGAGATGCAAGCGAGAGGGGATGGCAAGAGAGTGCAACGGAGACGGAGCGTGCGCGAGAAAGAGGCACGAACGTCGCCATTATAATAGATATGTTAGCATGCAAACGCTGTCTTTTATACGTTTGCCAGTCTGCGGTAGTGGTGGCGATCTTCCAGGGCCGTGTGCCTTCTCTTAACGTACCCGAATCCAGCTCTTTCCATTTATAAACTTTAACATCGCACAATATGTCTCATGTTTTTCTCGCGAATATAATTAAATTAGAAATGACAATAATACATCCTATAGATAATACGAAGATACTATAGAGATGTCTAATTCATGGACTACGATGAAATCATGTCTCTTATTAGAGAGAGATAGCAAGATAGTCGAGATTTAATTTGACATTTGTCAAAACTCGGAACTAGTTTCAGATTCAAAGGTCTCATCTTGTACATCCCCTTCAAACATATGTCGCCCCAATCGTTGAAAATGCAACGAGACCATCGTCTCGAGGTATCGAGAGGTTTGCTATAGTGGGCCCATAAAAAAGGCGGCATTCCAATAAACCGATAGTTGATACATCCCTGGGGCCTCGCGAGCAAAAGCGTAGTGGCGGCATGAGAGGGGCGGCAAAGCACGGTTCGCCGGATAAGGGGAGTGGTGAGAGGACAACGCGGTAGCGACTGCGGCGGCGGACGAGCGGGGGCGGCAGGGCCTGGCGAGACGCAGCGGGGGAAACGCACGGGTTCCCCGAGGGGACGGGGGGAGGGGGCGGCGGTGGCAGGGGTGTATCTACTTACCATACTCCCAGTATACCAAAGTCCCGCGGTCGACGCGGCAGATAGTAGTCGCTGGCAAAGCAGGCATCTCGACAGCAGCCGCGAGAGCAGCGGGAGAGGGGGGTGAAAAATAAAACGAGAATCGGAAGCGAGAAGAGGGACAGAGAAAGAGAGAGAGAGACGAGATAGAAATAGAAACGAGATAGACGTAGAGGAGGAGAGATGGATGTAAAAAGAAAGGAAGAAAAATCGCGAAGCGCGAAGAAAATCCGTTACACGTGTTCGCCATTCGCCTTTTCGCGAACACGGGAGGAAGAAGCAACAAAAAAGCAGAGATTCAGCGAAGAGGAGATACCGCGAATGGAGCTGATGGAGATGAAATTGTCGAATGCAACGAAAGAAAGTGATTGAATGCATCGCGTGTGATAGCATATCGCGTGTTTCGTGCGGTTCCGGTCACATGGATCACGTGGTAATCGCTGCCCCTTCCTTTTCTGATGGCGGGGGTTCCTCCGACGGGCGGTGGGGATGTCAACCATGATTGGGAGAGATGCAGAAAAGAGGAAGTAATAGACGGTTCCTAAGAGATGAAAACAGACAGTGAGGATGAAAAATAGGAGGAGGAGGAGGAGGAAGAGAAGAAAGAGAGCATTGTGTCAACACTGATGATGATCACATGAGGTGAGTGATATGTATCAATAATTTTTCTGCATATAGTTTCTGTCAAATTTAAATAATTTTCCGATGATAAACACATTATATTGTTCCTATCTACGGAAGAGAGTGTTATTTATGCGAAAATTTGAGAAAACTTGAAAGTTAATAATCCACTTTAGATGTATAAATCAAACCTATAAATAGCCTTGCGAAGAAAAATGACAAATAGAATTGTGAGAGACAATTCTTTATTACAGGATAGATTAATGATACCGTAGATTATATTTCACGACAGACAATACGCGGCGCGTCCCTCTTCTTTGCCGCAAGACGTCGACTTAAATCGTCGTTTGGCAATGCCTTCGAGGTTCCACCAACCCACTTTAAATCGTATACTTGGCACATGAGCTAATTGGTCGTATCTCGCGTTAGTCGGCGTGTTTTATCGCGCCATTCGTAACCAGTCGAAAAGCATTCGCCGACGTTCGCCCATTCCAACGAGCAATTTAACGAAACGCGAAATGTGTGTATGTGTGAGTAACGCGTTGCCGACACTCGATTTTTCACTTGCAGTTTCCACGTGGCGACCACGTGTTGACTTAGCACGCGTCTTACGATCGCGAGAATCCTCATCCCTTTCTTTTTCCCAAACAATCGGTCTAACCATGAATGACTGCACAAGAAACTATTAATTATTTATCATATAAAAAAACAACTTGATTAGAAATTACAAAATATAATTTAAAAAATAAAATTGAAGATTAAGTAAAAGATTTCTATAAAAATTTAAAACTGAAAATTTTGATTTTGATAATATTTCGATAAAATTTCACCACATTTGTGCATAAGAATGATTTTATAATCAAAATTTTCCCAAAATTTATTTTCCAAGTAATTCTTTCGTATAATCTTCGTTGAATTTTGAAAACATTTTTATTTTCTTTCTCGACTCTTGGTTCTTTTCATTGACGTTTATTATCAGATGGGATGAACGCAAGTATCTCGCGAAACGGCAGAACTTCGTAAGCCTGCCGCTTCTATTTCTGCCCTAGAAGCCGGACATGAAATTGAATTCGTACCGTGAATAACGACTAACAAACCGCAGTTATATCGTAAAAAGCAATGCAGCGGGATGTGAATTAATTCTGGCTCCGCACCCCACAGGCTATCTCAGAGCCCTTTGCCGCTCTCCGTCTCTCCTCACGCGGCATCTCTCGTTTTCTCTGTCGCGGTACTTCTCTCCTCCAACTTGAAACCCAAAATTCAATAAAGGCGAACGAGTACGAGGTCTCCCCCTTGATCCCCCTCGCAGCTTTCCGTATGGGATGGTGGTGGCTATGGGATTAGGAGTACCGGAGTCATCGCGAGGACCCGGAGGGAGAGATGAAGGCTCGGTGCATACATTAGCGGGGGCAACGTGCGGAGATATTGTCTGAACAAAGGGATCGGCTCGTACCTATCGAAAAGGCGATTAAGCGAGGACAAAGTTAACTTCGCCTTGAGCATTCCTGTTGGAAATACTCTTGGAAAAGACTTTTCTCCTATATTGTGATTTCGGGCGATATTGTGACTTTGTGTTCCTTCGAGAAAATCGGCTCAATCGATTAAAACAATTAACAAAGTTATAATAATTTATAAAATTGAGAGTTGTGTGATAAAATCGTAGTTACAACAAAAAATCTACGAAAGACATTTATGGGTCTATATGTCGGCCACATAAATCGAATTCTTTGATAGTTATTCAGTTCTTTTTATATCGTTAAAGTTTCGAAAGTATTTGAATAAAGTCAGTTATTACAGTCTTATATTTACAGTTGCATTTAAAAAAACGCATTTAAAAAAATTATTCGCGACGCGTTATGCGATCTCGCAAACTTGACATCGCATCCAAGACAATGAAGGTAGAAAAACGGGTCGCGCGAGACAGAGAGAAATAGAACGATAGCGAGGACAGCGGGGTTGACAGGACACAATATTGCAATAACTTCAATTACGGCGACACGACGGATTGCCGTGGGGTAAATTCGACCGTTCCTCGTCCGTCCGTAGCCAGCCAGTCAGCCAGCCAGCCAGTCAGCCACCCCCGCCTGTTCCATCCATTTATATATCCGAGTGACACAAACGTCGTGGTCGAATTGGCTGTCGGATCTGAAAGGGGCTGCCTTTAAACAAGTGCTTCTTAATAAACCATTGACGCGCAAAACCACCCTCGAAAATTTGCCCCTCAGCGCCGTGTCGCCACCCTTCCTCAACGTCTAACGCCATGAGATTCCAGATCGTCGAGGGACTTTTAGCTTTCGTTACTTCGTTAAATTCAGAAAGGCAAAGCGTATCTCGCGTTCAAAGTAACGAAGCATTCTAACATTTTTATTTCGAAAATTTTTCGGGCACACGTCAAGGTTACAAAACGAGAACGATTTGATTGACATGGATCGACTATCATACTTCAAAAGTTTACGGCGGTCTATTATAAAGTTTGTTATAAATGTCTATGCAACACAAAAAAAGCAAAAATGCAGAGTAAAAAATAAAAATATATAAATTCATATAATTTACAATTTAATTTACAAATTAAATTTTTTAATTATATTAAATATTTTAATAAATTTTTAAATTTTTAAAAATTTTTAAATATTTTAATATTAAATATTTTAATAAATTTTTAAATTTTTATTAATAAAATAATTTCCGATAATTTTACGGAAGTATATAACATACAAAACAAAAATTATAGAAATGGATAAAAAGTTATACGTTGATCTAATTATCGATTAAGATTAATATAAAACTTTTTCGCCGAAAAAATCCAAAAATGTTCCTAATAATCCAATTTTTTATAGTAACGTAGAAAAAATTCGTCAAATAGCTTTCGAGACAAGACCGAGGATCACCGAGGAGTTAGCGTAGCGGTGACTTATCGACCGCTTGGCTGCAGGGAGAGCGAACTCTGGAAAAATTGTGCAGAGCCTTTTGCCCCGCGGGCTAAGGGTATTTCACTAGGGGTGGGCACGCACCCTTCTTCGCTCATGTCCCACTCAAAATTTCGCTTGGCTAGCGCTTTTTTTAACATTTATTTGACAGCTGTCGTCCGCAATGCGTGCGCGTTTACCTACCTATCTACCGCGCAGGGTCTTGTCCTCATGTCGAAATTGTTCGGGGGCAGAAACGAGGACTCTGAACGACACCCTTGGAAGAGATAGGGGTAGTGCAAACTTAAGATGCTGACGTGACTAACCGATATTTCCCTACACAGCAAAGATTTATAAATGTTTCGACATAATTACACAAGAGTCTCTCGAAGAACCTTTGTATCTTATATATTTTAAATTCTCGAATTAGATTGAAGAATATTAAACATTGGTGTTTTTCGTAGAAACGTCTATTTATAATACGTTTAGAAATTAATTCAAAATACAAAGTCAAAGAGAGCAAAGAGTATTATATAATTGAAATTTATTTAGTAAAGTTTATCATAAACATCTTTAAGCAAGCTGCAATTTATGTACCAATTATCATCTTATTGAAATTTAATTATTACTTAATTGAAACATCAACTGTATATTTATAACATGTTAATTATATTTCAGCGTAAATCCCTCTGTAATTCAATAAAAACATATGCTAATGATTTCTCCTCGTGAATTACAATGTGATGTTATTAATTTTTTATCAATAAGATGATTATATATGATCGCGAAAATGCACATTACATTCTTTCAAGAGGAGCGGACAATTTCTCGAAGGAATTGATTTCTCGAAATATCAACGGATAATTTCGCATTCTCCCTTAACAGAGTACATTTGTTATGCACCAATTACTTACACCCCCGCAGGCACGATCGCTAATTGCGGAACCGCGTTTTGTAAAAAATCGGCGAGGAAATAACTAATAATCACGTAATGAGTCGCCGCGAGAGTCTGTCACGCGATGCAAACGAATCAACGATATCGTTGAGCTAGGTTAATTACCCTGTGACCCGCGCGCCAGAATGCGTGGCCGCGACACCCCACTTTCTCTATGGTTGTATTCGTGCACGGACTTTCCAAAGTGTTGGTACACGCGAAAATTGAATGCCACGCGCGACACAACACTTTAATATAGTCGTATTCGTCGCACCAACTCTAATTTCAATTAACACAGTTTTTTTCCATTCGTGGTGGAGGATCGCGTCAATCCAGACTACGACTACCACGTGAAACGGAGGTATACGTCATTATCCTATTTTTATTATTATCGCGACACGTTTTAGTTTTTACCGAGTCGCATCATTATTCCGCTTACAAACGCGAGATTAATTTACGCTCGAGACAAATCGCAGCCCTTGTCGCTAGGGCTTCTTAAATCGATACCCGTTGCCGCGCGCCAAGGAGCCTTCCTTTCCCTATCGAGCATGTCCGGGAGAATGATAAAACGTTTAACGGCAGATAATCGTAGGAACCTCGATAAATCTAACGAGGTCTCGTTTCGTCGACCCTTTCTCCGATCGCCGATTTAAGCTCGGCGTTTCTGGGTACAACCCCCAGAGCAAAATCCCGATAACGAAACGGGAAGTCGTGCGTTTTTTTCCTCGCCGCGCCAGAGTGAAATAAAAAGAGCGAAAATGAACGACTATCGCGGTATTGCAGGGATTGCGGTATCCGAGCCTGAGAACTTTGTCAATTAGACGACAACAATTAGTCGTAGCCGCCAGACAGTAGCTGTCAGTAATAGCTAATAAGTAATAACGGATCATTGATCGCGGTAACTAGTCTCTCCTTGACGCGTGTCTTACGTTTGCCGTGGACTCGTTTAACATCGCGGAATGCGGATCGCCAGCCGATATTGCGCAATTGCCCGTTTTCCCAGATTTCCCAGGTTTCCATAAGCGTTATCGAGATCGTTCGAGAGATTTATCTCGCCCCGATTAAAAGGAACATACATCTTGCGCGACAATTCGGAAATATATTGCAAGCATGCAAGCATGTTTGATGAGAAAAAAACAACTGTGCGGATTATGAGAAAATGTTTTATTAATAAGTAATTT